AGTAACCCTAGAAGAACTACAGGCGGAGTTCGTGCAAGTGTCTAAACAACTGCTTACGCAAGATATTTAATGTTCGTCGGTCAGATACCATCAGTGATAGCCCACTGTGGGATAGATCAAACCAGCTTCCAGCTGAAGAGGAAATTAGGAAAAAAACGCTGAAGGTGGATAGGATATACATTACGAAAATCACGAAACTACATCTAGAGGCGAGGGCTTACTTGAAATCCTGAAGGGAAAAGAAAAAAGGGAGACCAAAGAACACAGTTAATCAGGAACTGGAGGCGGACATCCGAATAATGGATAGAAACTGGAAACAAATGGAAAGGATTGCCCAGGACAGAATTAATGGAGGATGCTGGTGGGCTACCTATGTTCTTTCACGAGGGGTAACATGCTTAAGTAAGTAAGTAAGTAAGTAAGAAGTAAGTAAGTAAGAAGTAAGTAAGTAAGTAAGTAGGTAAGTACGTTAACAAGCTGTCTTCTATAAATAACTTGAGTGGATAACATATTTATTTTTGAAGTGATAGGGACTGACCTCCAATCTCAGTGGGAATATTGACACTTGAATGAAAAAAAGTCCAACTGATGAGTCTCAAAAAAGATGAAATGTACATTTTAGTTTTCACTTCTAAACATAATTTGAATGTACTACATTCAAGTATTTTCTTTAATGTGAAAATACACGTGCCCCTTTGAGTATTAAGATTTAGTCCTTGATAATTTACAAAATTTACATGAACATTTAATAATCCGATTAGTAAAGAGATTAAATAATCCATAAATGTTAGGGTCACTGTAATATTAAATTGTTGTTAAAATTAAAAACAGAACTGATCTGTGAGCTAAAATAAGAAAGTTTACGTACTTGACTAAAAATAAGAGAAGGTCGAACAAAAAAGTGTAGGATCATTCATGATTTTCTTCCGTAATTTTTACATTATAAAATGAAGATTTTCTTGTTCCAGTGAGAATCTGCGTCCAGTGGAGTTCAACCGTGTTGGTTGTGAGGCAGTTACCAACCGAAAATAGTGAGAGATGGTCTCACAATACTGTGGATTAAGTGGAGTTAAATATTACAACCGTTGGATGCCGGCTCAATGGTCTAGAGTTTAAGCGCTCGCGTGTGAGATCGAAGGCCCTGTGTTAGATTACCACCTGCGAATCCGGCGATGTATACTTCTGAAAAGTCTCATACTTGGACGTAACGGCCGTACAGTACTCCCAGGTTTTCTACAGTGGTGCAACATTGATCGATTAATGATCTCAAAGGAATTTCCTCACTTCTGTTGTCTGTAAGATATTTAGAGACCACTTAACGACATAATATGCACACATATTTATCAGTTATTAAAAGGAATTACTAGCAATCAACAGATTGTTTGTCCTCAACTACGTCTCCTAAACAAAGAAAATGTGCTCAGAAGTGATTTATCAAGTATAGCAGAAAGAGTAACTGAGATTAATTGTTATCTTCCACTGAATAAACTGAATAAGTCATCAGATTAATAAAATCCCTCATCACGTTGTATGTAAGGTCACCTACTAGATATGCCCACTAACAGATGTAAAACTAATTATATTTTCTTTAATGAATTCTAGAAAACATTATCATTAAACCCAACACGTTTAGTAGTTCTATCATTGATATCACGTATTATGATGTATCAAACGTAATCAGAAGAGGTTAAACAAAGGATTATAAGATATACACCATAGTAAAAGTACTAATAAAGAATAAGTAAATGTAGACAAACATCCTTAAAACAAAAAGGCATATAAAATATATCAGAAAGGGATTTTGTGGAGATTTCAGTATTTGGATAGTTGAAAACATGAGTCAATTGAAGCTAGACCACCATAGAAAACCTGGAGGCACTGGAAGGCCGTTTCGCCCTAATGTGGGACTCCTCAGCAGTGCTCATCTACAAACCCGCCTCGCAAGATTCGAACCCAGGACCTACCAGTCGCGCCAGAGCACTCAACCGATAGACCACTGAGCAGGCATCTGATGGTGTTAATGTCTAACTTCAACCAATCCACGAAGTTGAGCAATCGTTCACAGTGGTCTATCAGTTGAGTGCTCTAGCGCGAGACTGGTAGGTCCTGGGTTCGAATCTCGCGAGGCGGGATTGTAGATGAGCACTGCTGAGGAGTCTCAAAACAGGACAAAACGGCCGTCAAGCAGTACTTCCAGTTTTTTTCATGGGGGTCTAGCTTCAATCGACTCATGATTTCAACTATGCAACTAAGATATATATTGACCACAATAGATAGTAAGCAATAGTTGACAGTAAGGTCTTTCATTTTATCAGGAAATATATTAGAAGAGTAATCTAATAGCTTCTTTCATTATATTATTAAATGAAGCCAGGATTTCCATCTCAAATTAACATTGTTTTCATATTTAGGTTTGACTTCAGTATATAAATCATTTATGTATTCAACCATGTAATCTTGATACTATGAATCGACATTAAAAATGTTTCTTCTTGGACAAGTGATCAAAATATAATCTACAAAGTTAATATTGAGTTTAATGATGTTCTTCATTATAACCCCCTAACACAACAAAATACAAAGTGACAATCATTCACAATTTAACTTGTTGCCAATTTCATGTTTCATCTTGTTGATTTTATTTAGATGACCTGAACTTTGTTTTCATATAACATACATCAAATCATGAATAAGGTGATTTAAGTTACTAAGCAGAAAATCAATTCATAATTTATGTAAGACTAATCATATGAAGTTAACTGATAATCAAATGGCGTCTTCAAACTGATAATCGTTATAACCGTATGGTAAATAACTCTTCATGACTATACGATGACTTCTTATTAGTATAGTTTATTAATTGTTAGAGTTCCAGTACTCATATCTGACTAACACCAGAGTAAATTATGAGGAAAAGAATTACCTTAAAGCTTTACTTCACAAGTAGTTTATGTACAAAGTAAAGCGATTACAGAAAGTTTAAGAGTTTAGTAAAGTTTTAAAATGGAGTGGAAATTTTCACCAATTATTTACGGAGGGTTAAATCACAATGTTTGCCATGTTCACTGTTCACTTGAATATATGTTAAAAATCATTAATTTTTGTTGCTGTGGCAAATACAACTGTTACAAGATTTGTTTTTTCTTTCGAAACGATTGGTCGATAGGAAAACTTAGGCTAGTGTAAACACTTTTCTATGAGGTCCGAATGCTCTGGTTTGATAGTAGGCATTACCGAGTGATCATATATTGAGATGAGAAAACTGTTCATTAAGAATTAATTCTCAAATGTCCTTTAACTCATGTTAAACTGCAATGAATACCAACTAAATAGGATATCTTAATTTACTTAATCATCCACTCCCGTTGTATATAAGCTTAGTAAATATGCATGAAAACCTATTTCTCGATTAATGAAATGTATTTCCATTGAGTTTATAAACGAATTTCAAACATCGACAGGTTCTTGTTTCTCTTTATCATAAATGAATAATCAAAATGATCTTGGAAAGTCTTTGAACCAAGATATTTATTGTTTCTTAATGAACTTGAATTAGTGAAATGAAAAGTGTTTGTCTTAAACTCAAAGGCGTTAAGTCTATTAATATTATTTCGAAAACATGCCACTCATTGACTTGAGACATCATCACAGTAGATTTAGGATGAAAGCCAGTGGCGATCACGTTTCAGTTTGTCATAACAGTATAATTAAATTATTTAACCTGAAGTATATATTTTTTCTATAAATACTCTACTGATAGAATATTTTAAATGATTATGTGTCTTTTCCTCCTATCATTTCTCTACAGTATTATTAATACACCATAAATGATAGAGTGAATGATTATTTTATTGTATCAAACCTTCTGTGTAGAAAATCAAAGAATCAACAAATACTTTGTATGTTCAGTTGAACATAAATGTCAATATTTCTTCTATCATTACTACCCAAGTACAACGTCAGAGTCATTTGCTTTAACATAATCAATACTAAGTAGTCTTCACATTCCTCCTCCTTCTATATATATTTATGATTATAAATTTAGCTACATGAACCAACCTCAATATTATACTACTTTTAACTTAATAATTTATTTTATTTCATGTTGTTTTATTTGAATACTATCACTGAAAGTAAAAGCCGAGCGGAAATAGTGGCCCATTTAAGTATTTTTGTTGCTAGTATAATAAATATACCTGACAGTCTTAATTCCATCAGAATATTATTGACAGAATCATTTCTTTTTGATAAATAAGCAAATGACGAAAACACCATGAGGGTATAACGGTAATTGAAGTATATCGTAACTCTAAAATTCGGATATAGGGTACGTGTCCGTGAATTTGTACCATATGTATTCGCAATATGTGTGTAATATCTAATGTTAGTCCATTCATTTAGTGAGTGAATGGTGGGTATAGGAACATAATTTTCATTAAGAATTTTATTTCAAACTCTGAAATTAGATCTTTTATATATATTTTTCACCTGACAAGTTGCGATGCTCTACAGTAACATGGTTACAGAAAACGTATATTGATAGATTTATATGATTGAAACGAAATCTCTAGTGAACATTACACCATTATGTATATAGCGTTAATACATTAAATGGACAGAAGAACACTCATAAATACTAAATATCAAACTTTTATTGAATACTGAAAAAAGAAGGATAATCCTCATATAACATTTGTGCTAAAAGATGTTATTATATGGAACACCAATTTTGTGAACAGATACTAATAATTTTTCTAAAAATTTTTTTAATAGCTGAGATCATAAACCTGTTGAAGCTAGACCACCATGGTAAACATGGAAGCACTGGACAGTCGTTTCGTCCTATTGTGAAACACTTCAACAGTGCGAATCCACTATACTAATCAGTTACAAATACACTTACATGCACAAAAATATACAAATGCACTGTATAAACAGACATACAAGTAGATCAACCAACCAAATTATATATATATATATATATATATATATATATATATATAGACTTTCGCACAAATATAATACCTTAAAAAGTAAATGATTATTTAAATGAAGAAAATTTTCATTTTGATGATTTTATTTTTCAAAAAAGATACCAATATAGATCTGCATTGGATAAATTCAATGAACAATAATTAGTTACTAACTAGTATGCCTTTATATAAATGAACAATGAATGAACACAAAACACACACACACAAAGATAAAGTTTGGTCTATTTATTGAAATTGTGTGATCAGATTTGAAAAGCCTAAACTAACTTATTGGTATATTCTAACACAAATGATACCTTATTTACTACTACTACTACTACACATTAAATCAAGTTTTTATTAGAGAGAAATATTGATTGAGGTCAATTAAGTAACTTTTTTTGGAATGATACCAATTAGATAATTGAACTTATAATTGATATCATACAGTCCTATTATGGATCTATCTATGAATAATGAAGAGTGCTGTGAATATAATTTATGGTGATGAAATTCAATTGAAACCATATGATCAGTAAGTTATTGTAATTTTTGACACTTATTGGATAATTATAGTTATATAACAGGGTTTTGTGGAGATTTTAGTAATTTTCTATAGTTGAAATCATGAGTCCATTGAAGCTAGACTACCATGGAAAAACTGGAAGCACTAGACGGCCGTTTCGTTCTATGCTGTCTCAGTGGTCTAGTGGTTAAGCGTTCGCGCGCGAGACTGATAGGTCCTGTGTTCGAATCTCGTGAGGCGGGATCGTGGATGCGCACTGCAGAGGAGTACCACAATAGGGTGAAACGACCGTCCAGTGCTTCCAGGTTTCCTATGGTTGTGTAGCTTCAATTGTCTCATGATTTCAATTATAGTTTTATCAGATTAAATCCTGAAGTTACACTACATTCGAGACGATATACAATTTAGTGTTTTCAATAAATTTTTCTCTAAACTATACCGATTACAACTATTGAAACTGTTCGTTTAAACATTTATCGTTTCAATGATTTACAGACAACCATTATTTTAAGTTTAATAACTGAATATAATTTGACCGGTCATTATGATTATTGACATTTATCGAAAAAATTTTTCACGCTTTAAATCATACATGGCCCGTTAACAAATTATAATACTAACTTTAACTCCTCAGTAGTACGCACCGACGACTCCTATGAGGATCCAGACTAGAAACTTTATCCTTGCACGCAAATGCCCAACCTCTGAACCATTCATTTACGAACCGTTGGTGAACATGTTTAACTTCATTCGATTAGCTATATTTTGCGTTCACCTTCCATTACTTACGTTGGATAACTATCTCACATTTGAAAATATTAAACTCCAGTAACCATAGCTTTTCAATAGAACTCTAGTAATTATATCCGAAAGCTTGTTTTTAGTGAGTACATGACTGTCCTTCATATATTAGGGCTTGCACAAATAGAATTTCCATAGTTAAATCTAGAATTGATCACCACTGGAATCTAGGAAACATTGGACATTTGTTCCTTCCCAGTATCGAACTCCTCAAGAGTGCACATCCATGATGGCCTAGACAAAATCAGTTTATAATCCAGTTATGGAGATCATTAAAATGTTCATAAACCCCAATATACATATAAGTATTGTAATCTTTTAGGTTAAACTATATAACGAGAGAAACGTCCCAATTCATATGATGAAAAAGTTAGGTTTAATTATCCCTTGAACTTCATTTTAGATTTAATGCATACAGAAACAACAATGACAAAACAGTTAGATTATTGAATTCCCAGAATTGTCAATCATTTAAAAATTCTTTTTAAAATTCAGCTGAGATACAGGATAAGTTATCCTGTTTACCGATTAGCTTGCAAATCAAACTATTCAATGATGTATGTGTACCTGGGCCCCTATATGACTACTTATAGTGGTTTTTTATGGAAGACATTATCACTTTTAAAAATAACAATTTCTGTTACTTAACAAAATAAAGTTCTGTTATGTGCACAGTTCACAAAGTACATATGACTTATAAGTTGTGGATTTGTTTTTATTTTGATAAAGTCAAACATAATAACGTACTTCTGTTATGTAAAATCACTTACCGCTGTCTGGTAAGCAGGTTGGATAGTTAAAGGTAAATTTCCAATATCAATTAAATGAGCGTTTGATTGAAAATTGCTATGATGATTAGTCAGAAACCAATTTCCCAAATATTCATTGTAAATCCCATAAACTAAGCTTTCAGATGATTAATGCCAATCAAGATGACAGATAGCCTACCAATCATGAGATCTGAGTTCTTTAGGTGTAGACATGGAAAAAGTTAAGGGCAGCGGCGAATATAAAATGAGTGTACGAGAAAAAAGAAGTTCAACATTAATTACTTTTTATCAACTCTTAAAATATTTTCTCTCAAGGTTTAATTTTCAGATGTAATACATAGTTCCTAACATTATCAGTTGGAATATCACACTTGGACTAATTAGGTATTTCGAGACCATTTTTTGAAACAAATCACCTGTCATCTATACCATGCTTATTACACTTCTACTCAGGACATATACAGTAACAAGTTTTATGGATCGATGAACTATCCACAGATTGAATTCAGGACTCTGAATTACTGAAATAATTAAATCAATTTTTTATCGATCGAACTATAATTGATTTTTAATATTAATAAACATAACAGACAAAGTTATAAGGGTTTATGGAATCAGGAAACTGTCAGTGGTTTGCAGCATGTGTAATATATTTTTTCAGAACTCTAAAAAACCGTTCCAAACTTGGTTGAGAATAACTTTTGAGGATAAAATTACCATTGACTAGTCCAATTCAGTATAGTTTTCATCAACCTTTTCTTCTTAAATGGCTAGTTATAAGCCAAACTACCGAAAAGTTCCGTTTACGTAATAAAACAAATCCCAGTATATTCTCTCTGTTAATTGTTTTTCTGGTAACCTTATCAAAACATCCACATCTAAAAATTCTTGGTGTTCCCTTTATTTGATAAAGTTCTATCCTTTATACAGTCAGTAAATAGTAAAATGCATATTTATTCATTATATAGGCTTTGGTTTACATAAATCATTAGACTATCACATATTTTCAGGTACTAACAACTTACCTAAAATAACTTATACTACTTGTATTGATATTCAGCAATTATATAGTTAATTCACTAACTTAAAGTAGGACTGTATATCTAATTTAAGCAATGTTTATTGAACGATTAATGATATTACTCTCTTTTCTCATATCGAATTAATTGCACTTTCAATATGATATTTAAGAATAGAATGTTTTTAAGTGCAAAGTAGGTCTACTCATCGATTGTCCAGTGATACTTAGTAAATCATTTAGTGAACGTTTAGAGATTATAATGACTACGATCAAAAACATCATGTGTGATAGTTAAGTTGAACTAATTTGCATAATACACCCTAGATAATAATTTAATAATTGCAATAGTTGAGATCATGAGTCAATTGAAGTTAAACCACTATGGAAAATCTGGAAGGTATTTCCTGGAGTTCTAGTGAGAAGCAATGACCAATGGAGTTCAACCAGGTCTGTTGTGAGATAGTAACTCATTGAAGACAATGGTGGACGGTGGCTAAATTTCGTGGATCGGTTGAAATTAGACATTAACACTATTGGATGTCGTCTCAGTGGTTCTAGATGTTAAGCGCTCACGCGCGAGACTGAAAGGTCCTTGGTTCGGATTTGGCGGGGTGGGATCGTGGATGCGCACTGCTGAGGAGTCCCACAATAGGACGAAATGGCTATCCAGTGCTTCCAGGTTTCTTAATGATTTATATTTGATAGTCTTTAAATTCATTACTTCAGTTTTACAATAAATCACTTAAATAAAACACATATTACTTCAAAGATTACGGCACTTCAATATATATATATATATATATATTACTTAAAAGCAATCTCATTTCGCTATTTATCGATCAAACACTTGGAACCATCAATTTTAACATAAAAAACTTACCTTATATCGATCGACATATCTCGTAAAAATAAACAAGGGGTGTATATCGATCGGAGTTACTGAGAAACGTATGTTCTTTTTAGTTATAAAAACTTTACAAATATTTTATCTCATTGAAATAATTATCTTATACATTCTACACATTCTAAAGGATAAAACAAATTCAAATATATCATAATACTTAGTAGACACAAAATACTTAAAAATAAATATATACTTATCTCAGAAAGGTAGTCTTGTGGAGATTTTAGTAATTTTCTATAGTTGAAATCATGAGTCAGTTGAAGCTACGCTACCATGGAAAACCTGGAAGCACTGGACAGCCATTTTGTTCCAGTATAGAAATCCTCAGTAATGCGTATCCACGATCCTGCTAACGGGTTTCGAAACCAGGACCCTAGGTTTCGCCTGCGAGTGCCTAACCTGTAGACTACTGAACCGGCATCTAACGGTGTTAATGTCTAACTTCAACTTATTCATAAGTATTCATATTTAACGATATAACACTTTTCATCGTGAAAGATAATAGTTTATTTTACAGTTTGTTTGCTCAATAAATATGTCAGGAGAAAGTAAATTTACAACTCATTAATTTATTATATTATTAGTTACTTCAGTGAAATTCATTGACATTGTGGATTGTCTACATGTATTTACCTAATGCCTAGTTCAATGTATGCAAATTGAAATGTTGACCACATAATTAGATCATACACTATTCAACATATTTTGATCTAATTTTCGAATCACTGAGGAAAATAGTGGTTGATTCTGTAATGAATCTATTGTTAGTTCATAAACAAAATTTCATCTACAGTATCACCTTTTTTTACATTAAATTGTGTCACTCACTTTTATTCTCATGTTATGAGAAACAAGTGGTAATCTTTACAGGAATATAACAAATAACCCGTACCAGTAGCTTTACAATTATCTCTATAGGTTACATCAAAATAAACTAAATCACTAAGTGTCATCAATTCTGTTTGATGTTGTGAATGAAGTCACTCAATGTTAATCACTATATATTAGTTATTGTTTAGAATGTTCTGTATCATAAAACAGAGGTAGGTGTGAATCATATTAAGTCTACGGATGAAGAAGCATCGTGTTGAAGATACGACTAGTTTTCTAGTTTTATAACTATAAACCAGCAACACCTTCTACATACGAAGCTTTCCCAACCAATTGAAATCAGAAGTTAGATGCGAAGAGATCGGAAAGATATATTTGATACGTTATCAATATATATGGAGAAGCGTTTGCTCTAATCTGGCTAGTGAACGTAGGAGCTGTGTCCCACGCTGATTTGTAACGTGATCTGGTACGGATGCATGACCGAAAACCTTCAGTTAAACAAGTCCACTTAAAACAATGTGGTCAGCAATGTCGAACACTTAATGAGCTATTGATTTTGGGGAATTATTTACAGCTACAGTGTTTTTCTTCATTAATTTGATATGACGGGATAAATAAGCAAACTTATATTTTCATTCATTGTGATTTTTTGGTAAACATTACTTCTGGTTTTAATTTA